AGGCAGAGTGTCCCAGCACGGCCCGACCATCACCTCCGCAGGGAACTGAAGTGTGCCCCCCCACCCCCACCCAGTGTCCGCTGCTGAAGCCCTAACCCCTAACCGGGGGCTGCAGGTGGGCCTTGGGAGGTGACCGGGCTTACATGAGGGCACGAGGGTGGGGCCCTGGTAGGAAGGAGAGACACAGGTGGGGGAAAGAGCGCCGTCCCCCGCCGGGGACGAGGTCCTCACCAGAGGCAGCCGGATCTGGACGTCCAGCCTCCAGCACCGGGAGGAATTAATTCCTGGTGACTGTGGCGTGTCCACTCAGCCTCTTGCAAAGAGCGTTCTGCGGAAACATCAACGTTCCCTGGGAGGCGACAGTGTTAGTGCTGCGCACGGCCTGTGCGCCCGCTGCCGGCCTCATTCCCCAGGCCTCCCTTCCAAAGGCTAACCTAGCTGTCCCCCAACTCTCCACGGGGCCCCCTTCCTGGGGCCCCGGGAGGGATCTCAAGTGCCGGAGAAGCTGGGCTGGGCCGCAGGACAGGTGTCAGGATGACCTCAGCATGTGTGCCTCTGTAACTGTCGAGTGTCCCCCACACCTAAGGTTGTTTTGCTTGTTTTCACTCAGCGGTCAGCCGTGACAGCAGTCTGCTGGGACATTCGGTGTCTCGCCCTCACGGGGAAGGTCAGGCCCACTAAATACCACACAAGCTCGAACGGCACTCCCACGAAGGCAGCGTCCAGAGCAGGACGTCTCGGTGGAGACCGCCCGACCGAACCCTGTCTCCAGATGGGAAGGCAGAGGCCCAGAGAGACCCGGAGGCTTGCGCCTGCGCTAACCGGCTGGGCCCCCGCCGAATCCCCCGACACAGGGGCAGGGCCGCCAGATCCCAGAGGATGATGGAGTGCGCCTTCCTGTTCAAAAGCCCGAACACGACAGAGGAGACTGGGAGCCACAGTAGAGCACAGACTGGACGTGAGTGCGGCCCCATCACGTGACTGAAGAGCCTGCTGGCCGCTGGGAAGATCCCACCCCGAAATGTGGGAGGGGATTCTCCCTGAGCCCTACCCCCACCCCCCCTGCCCCACACAGAGAAACCGAAAACAACACCTGGCCCTCTGCCCCCATCCAGACGGCTCGCCTCCCTCCCGCACAGGGAAGGGGTGGGGAGAGCCAGAGGAGAGTGCCTGCCTGCAGGTGCGTGGCCGCGAAGTGTTTTCCCCACCTCCACAGAACGATTAATTACTGATTGATTTCATCAGCGGAAAACGCGCCCTGAGGGTCCGCACACATCCTGCCTTCTGGGTAACTTAAAACCCGGCAGTTAACTTGAGAGCATTTGGCTCTTGGCCCAGCTCCGAATGGCACGGCCAACGTTAACGCTGATTCGAGGTCGCTGCTGTCACGTGCCCCCCGGCCCCTGCCCTTGGAGAAGTGTGGGACCGTGCCTTGGGGGCTCTGGGGAAAATGGTGCCAGGAGGGACATCGCACAGCTCACGGAGCAGGGTGACACAGGTGGTCATGGGGCCCTCGGCACGTGGGCACCCGGGTCTCAGACATCAGCCTCTGGAGCCGCGGGAGAATAAACAGCTGTTGTTTACACCCCCGGGCCCGTGGTATTTGTCGCGGCAGCGCTAACAGTCCAGTACGCTTTCTCTGCCGCCAGCGAAACTGGGATTCAGAGAGGCAAAGCCACCCACCTCGAGTCACACAGCGAGCTGGGCACGCCTGTTGTTCAGTGGCCTGGAGCACGGACCCAGCACATGAGACCCCGATCGCAGTCCTTTGCCCATGCAAGCTGGGACAAGTTACGGTCCTCTGAGCCTCTGGGTCCTCTCTGTAAAGGGGACCCTGGGTCGCTGAGCACATGGTAACGTACGTTCCATTCAGGCTGAGGTCTCCTTCTCCAGCCCACACGCCGGCTGAGGAGCAGGGGCCGGTCTTCCAGCACCAGAGAGGCTCCCCGTGGAGCCAGTCACACCCGGAAGGCTACACTGCCACGAGCGGGGCTGAAAGTATGCTACGGACTTATGGGAAGACAAACACCACCCCCCGCCCCGGGCTGCCTCGGCCGAGGCTGAGGACACCTGGCCGTGGGGACCCGGGACAGCTGCCAGTTGGCCCCGCCTTACCTATCGCCAGACTGTCCCTTTTGCCCTCAACAATGTCCTCTTCCACCGGGCCCCCCTCCACAGGCCCTGAGACGTGGCAAAACCCGGTCGTGCCACACACCGCAACCACCTTACAGGAGGGCCGATGTGGGGAAGGGCCGGCCCTGGGGACCGCCAGGCCTGAGTGCGGGTCAGAGACTCTACACCTCCGTGCACGGCTCCCACCCGCTGCAGACCTGCTTTCACTGGGCAGAATGAGCAGAGCCATCCTTTGCCGGTGCTGGGTGGTGCACACACGAACATACGCACACACGTGCATATACGCAAGTGTGCAAGTATGTGTGTGTGCACACGCGTGTGCACATATACACATACGACACACTCATGCAAGCACGCACCCATACGTGCCAACATAAATGCAGGTGTAAACGCGTGTCCTTGTGTGCA